AACCTATAATGGTTATGATGTTTAGAATGCGACGCCAATCGTACACACAGTAATGTTTATCAATATAACTGTTCAACGTATTTGGGATTTGGAAATTACTTTTAGTTATCATTATCTTATAATATTATTTTAATTTAATATTATCTTAATTTGCAATATATTTAAGTACTTCTTTATAAATTTTTCAATTAATATATTGTAAATTTAAGAAAAATTTCCAACAAATTTTACGAGTAATAATAATTTATTATTTCAAACTATTATTTTTTTATCTTTATTTCAAATGAAATTTGTATGTAAGCTTGTTATGGAATGTATTAATCTAATAATTTGTATATTAATTGATGTTCAAAAAAATTTCAAAAAAATCAAGAGTATGAAGTATGTTAACTGGTTCAACAACTGTCCTATAAAAACACGCGAATCATAAGTGGCCTGAACATCAGAAAAGAGTTGCAATTAATGTAGGTCAATTATGTATATCTTATAATACATTTTAATTTGTTCTAACTTTGTTTACAACAGATTATTTATCGATGATTCAATATTAAAAGATTAATATCAAGCAATGATTATTAAAATTTTATCCAAATAAAATATATGATTTATCTTAATTAAGTCAATAAATTACATTTCATATGATTCAAGTCAATAAATGTTTCATTCAAACCTGTTATTTTATTGTGAATGCAATTATTAACACATTATTGAATTTTACTGTGAAAGGTTAATAATTATGTGTGGAAGCATAAATATTTTTTCGTCTGGTGCAACTGAAACTTGCAGAATGCTTTCTCGTTAAATAATTTATATACTTCAATGAAATTCTACCTTCTCGACCACCTTTAGAAAACACATTGTGCATATTATTCTTCATTCCATTATCTCCGTCTAAAGCATAATTATGTCTCACAATATAATTATTCTCGTCTCAACGACAAGAAAAGAAGTTCGATCTTTCCTTTCTGTTATCTGATAGATCTGAACCGTTCACAATAATATTATATAAAATAATGTTATTATTTTTTTTTCATAATTTTTTTCTGACACAAACATATAGACATTTAATAGAATTTCTGTTTCTGACTAACATTATTACAAGCTTATTATGATTATTACTATATTTATTATTCGATAATTTTCATTTTGAATTTTATTTTTAATTGAGCAAAATAATAAACAAATGATATTAATTACGTCACTTATCAAATAATAATTAATATTATTTCCATTGTCTCGACAATTAAAATAACAGAATAATAAAAATTCTTATTCTTCGATTTTTTATTTTAATTTCAAATCAAACTTGGTCAGATTTGTTATCTATATATATATATATATAGTGGCTCGTATTTTTTTCCTACTTCCGTGTTCGTTAATTCGTCGGATCCGTTGCGGGGAACAAATTGGACCACACGGTTGTCTCGAAGAAAAACAGACGGTAGAAAGAAAAGAAAAGAGGTGTACGTGCAAGGTGGAACACTTTCGCGACGAAAAGGCCCCGGGCAACGCAAGTTCTGCGAACAAGCAGAGGTTCTGAAGAGTGCAATGATTTCTATATGGGCCACGAGAAAGTCACTAGCGCGTGTCGCTTTTTTTTTCCATGGGTATTCGACCCTTTTGCACTTTCGCGGTCAAACGATCCTCTTCTTTGGGTTTTTGCTTCGAAAATTAATCTTGCCTCGATAATCGATGATTCGAGTTGTAATGAGATCAATCTTCTTGGATCCAAAGATTCCAAGATTTTATACAAGTAAATATGATAATAAGTGTATTCGTGAAATTTTGGAAAATCAATTTCTTAAAGCCAAAACGAATAAGAAAATTGACGTATCGGTTAAGAAGTTTATTTATTTATTAAATTACAAGCAATTAAAATTTTATTTAAACGAAGCGAGAGAGAGAAAAAAAGATAAAGTTAAAAATAATTAATTATATTGTTTATAACTTCGATATCTTTTTGTATCAATTTTTTTGTGTTTGTTTCTAAAATCGATCTTCCAAAAGTGTATCATGAATATATAAAATAAATAAGTTTTCGATTGAAAATCACAGCAGTAATCGAGAAATTGAGAATCACTGTTTTATTACACTGTAACTCTATCTACAATTTTCAAAAATTTTATCATGTTTTTCGACTAATTTTCCACAGAGCACATTATTTACTTTTTACTTTACTTATGATTATTCCTATAACGGAACATTCTAATAATCGGAGTTCATGTTTAAAATGTGCATAGTAA